TCGGTTGCAGCGACGGGTGGTGCATCGTGCGGGGGCGTGAGTAGTGATGAGACTGTCGAGCAGCTCATCGTTGACATGACCCCGTCTCGGACGCCGGCAGAGGCTGCAACAGCCCGTCCAAGTGACCGCCTCTCTTCTGCCCAGCCCTGCTGTCCCAACTGCCAGCGCCTACCCTCTTTCCACATGGCCCCTTTGCCTATCTATCCCTCTCGGTGTCTTCTTCCATGCCCGTCTGGCCCATCGACGAATGGCATTTGTCCATCTCATGCATCTGATCTGTTGGCGGTCTCGAAAGCCTACATGCACACGGACAAAAGAAGTGATCTATTCGGTTGGCATGGCAAAGACGACATTGCCTCTTCGACCATCCCACCTGAGAATGTGGTATGGACGAAAAGGCGTGGCAATGCGGTCCGGGCTCGAGTCTCGCTGGGGTTGCCGGACAGACGAGTTGAGGCGAGGTGGCAATTGCATTCCTTTTGGGAGGTTGGGCCATGTGAAATTCAAGTGTGAAACGTTCGGTTTTGCTGTGATTTGCTTTCCTGTTGCCTTTTGCCGGAGGCATGTGCTTCCTCGATCTCTCTCGCCGTCCGCCACTGGTCGGAGGAAAGCCCAGCACGAGGGCAGCGGAGTCGAGGACGGCGAGGCAAGGTCCCCTTGGCGCATGCCGACAATCGGTCTTGGCTCTCCTTCGCTGCTCTTCGGTGTCTGGTGTGGCCAATCCACGCATTCGCTCCACCCACCCGCTCTGTCCGGTCAAAATTGCAGCTAAGCTGACGTCATCAATCTGCCACACATTTGGCGCCTCGTCAATCCTTTTCATTTCGAGTCAACTTGGCGCGAAGTGGTCGTCTCCACCACCCTTTTTCGGTGGCGGTGCACACAGAACTGCCTCGTCTTGCCTCCCATTGGCAGATTGATCGGTTGTTGTCTGTTGTTAAGGCCGCATGTCGAATACGGCAACGTCATTGGTAGACATTCGGAACTGCTTTCGTGGCGGCATGGGAACTGGAGGACGCAGCCAAGTTTAGTGCTCCTCCGCGTGTCCACTCTTCACGCCAGGCCGCCTCTAAATCTGTCCGAAACTGTGGCCCGGAGGCGGCAATCCGAGAGCAACTGTACTCAACCCAGGTTGGTTGAGGTGTTCTCTGCTCGGATAAGCAAGGTTTCTCACAATCGAATTGAGGGGCTTCGGGATAGCATCGCCTCCAAACGGGCTATCAGATCTCAGCTCGACTGGACTGAAGTGGACTGGACGACAGTTTTGGTCTTACATCGTCGTCTTTCATCAGCACTCAACGGGGTTGCATACAGAGTCTTGGAGATGATGGCAATGCCATCACTCCACTTCACGTCACTTCGCTTCGCTTCACTTCACTTGACTTCAGTCTACCCGAATCCACTCCACTCCACTACTCGACCAGCAGCACGTGTATCTGCACAAGCCCCAACAGGTTTACGCATAAATATTGGCAGAATAGATGAGGCCCTAATTATGCTTTTTTCCCATTGTCAATAAATCGCAAGCCAGATCTTATTGTTTAGAATTGATGAAGATCAAAA